TGCACCTTACCTGTCACTCCTCACCTGTCACACCTCTATCATCTCACTTTCCTTCCCCTCACCTCTCACTCATCGCCTGCCGTCTTCATCATCTCACCTTCTTTACCTCCTCACCTCTCACTCATTACCTCTTACCTCCAACAGCTCACCCTCCTTCCCCTCGCCTCTCACCTCCATCCCTCTCACCTCTCACCTCCAGTAGCTCACCCTCCTTTCCCCTCACCTCTCACCTCCAACAGCTCCCCTGCCTTCCCCGTCACCTTTCACTCTTCACCCGTCACCAACAGCTCGCCCTCCTTCCCTCTCACAGCTCGCCCTCCTTCCCTCTCACAGCTGCCCTCCTTCCCTCACAGCTCACCTTCTTCCCTCTCACACCTGCACCTTCTTCCCTCTCACAGCTCACCTCCTTCCCCCTCACCTCTGACACCTCACCCCTCACCCCCTCACTATCATTCCTCCTCCTTGTCTTAAAAGTAAACCACCAATTAAAGGTCAAAACCTATGGGTATATAAACCACTAATCACTAATGCTTACAGACTTATAAATCATGAAGAAACAGTATAATAATTACTTACATTTTCAACAACACAATAAGACTCCGAGACATAAGGCACCACACGTCAAATCATTAACAACTGCAGTAAAGTATCGGGTCGTAATTAAACTCTACTTTATGCCTGAGAAACAAAATATTGATAATTTACAAAGATGTTTAAAGAAGGGGGGCCATTACGATGAGATTTACGGTTGACAGTCATTTGGTCCCCCTGATGTAGTGGCCGACAGTCTGTGCAGTTTTCTCTCAAGGTGAAGTGGGTGGTGGGAGTGAGTGGTAAATGATGGCCACTGTGAATAATGTAAGCGATCAGTAATATAATAATTTATTGTCTTGATATTTCATTGGTTGAACCTTTGTTATTCTAAAAGATTTTCTCCGTTTGCCTGATGGAATGTTGTACCAGTCGGGGTGTGTGTGTGTCTGTCTGTCTGCCTGTCTGTCTGTCTGTCTGTCTGTCTGTCTGTCTGTCTGTCTGTCTGTCTGTCTGTCTGTCTGTCTGTCTGTCACAATAGTTAGAAGATAAAACCCAGACAAATAAGAGCGCTGGACAGTAGTTTATGACCCTTCCATAATATTGCAGCTTAGTTCAGCTGTGTTATTTACCTGTGTGTTGGGTGGTGAATGACCTCGCCTCGTGTGTGATGTCCCCCTCGTCTAGACCACCGTGATGGCTGGTGTCCTCAATAGGGTCGTTATCTCCCTGTTAGAATGTCGAGTGTGAGTCACAACAGCTTCAAGGACTACGTGGTGGTGGTGCATATTTCCCCACGTACTGGAGGAGGAGATGTGGGTGGATGGTTCTGGAGGAGGAGGAGGAGGAGGTGTGGGTGGATGGTTCTGGAGGTGGTGTGGGTGGACGGTGCTGGAGCAAGAGGTGGTGTGGGTGGATGGTGCTGGAAGAGGAGGAGAAGGTGTGGGTGGATGGTTCTGGAGGTGGTGTGGGTGGATGGTGCTGGAGGTGGTGTGGGTGGATGGTTCTGGAGGAGAAGGTGTGGGTGGATGGTGCTGGAGGAGAAGGAGAAGGTGTGGGTGGATGGTTCTGGAGGTGGTGTGGGTGGACAGGGCTGGATATTATGACCCGCCAACTCCACACTGAAGGAGGCAATATGGCCGGTTTAATCATCAGGTGATATAAGTTGGGGTAGTTAACCTTTACCTGATATTTACTTATTTATTTATTTATTTATTTATTTATTTATTTATTTATTTATTTATCTTCACACAAAACATTGCCTTCGTCATATACCAGCAGGTTGATTCATCCAGGGGTCGTGTGTGTGCTCTCTCTCTCTCTCTCTCTCTCTCTCTCTCTCTCTCTCTCTCTCTCTCTCTCTCTCTCTCTCTCTCTCTCTCTCTCTCTCTCTCTCTCTCTCTCTCTCTCTCTCTCTCTCTCTCCCCTACACGACCTTACAGCTCAATTCTACACTTTTTCAACCATTGCTTGTCTGTCTTGTGTTCTCGTTCTCACACACACACACACACACACACACACACACACACACACACAAGGTAAGCATTTATAGTGATGATGGTGATGATGGTGATGATGGTGGGGTGTAATGGTGTCGATCTGTAAAAAAAAAGAAAGAATGCCTAAAATTAGACCAAGATTTCGTATAGTGTGTTAGTGTGTGTTGCATCCACGTGTCCCTTCCAGACCTAAGAAGAGCTCAGCTAGTTCCCTCCAACACACTCTTCTCACCCCTATACACTCAAATACTCCCTCCAACACACTCTTCTTACTCTTGCCTCCTCCTCTCTTTCCCTCCCCACCCCATCTCTCCCCACCCCATCTCTCCTCACCCCACTCCTCCCCACCCCATCTCTCCCTCCCCCATCTCTCCCTTTCCCATCTCTCCTCCCCATCTCTCCCCACCCCATCTCCCTCCCATCTCTCCTCCCAATCTCTCCCTCCTATCTCAGCCACCCCATCTCTCTCCTTCCATCTCTCCCCTCCCCACTCCTCCACCCCCATCTCTCCCACCCCTCCTCCCCCACTTTGTCTCTCCCTCCCTCCCCTCACCCCCTGTCTTCCTCCCCCAGAATAGGTGTATTAATGGGTGAAATATTATCCAATAAACGTTTATATATGTATAATATGGAAGATGGCTGGTTATTGTTTAAGTGCTGATATCTCTCTCTCTCTCTCTCTCTCTCTCTCTCTCTCTCTCTCTCCTAGGTTACCATCAATACGGGTGCCAGGGGGGGAGGGGCTGTTATCCTCTCTTTCAGCCGTAGTTGTCCCAAGTTGTGAGTGGGGAGTGGGGGAGAACTTCAACTTCGCCGTGTGTCTTTTTACGGTGATGGTACACCGGTCATCACTTTGTTACCATACAGTCATTCATCGTATACTCTATTATCACATTCATATCACACACCCACATTCATCGCACTCGCCTATTACATCCCACATTCACCACATCCCACATTCATCACATACCCACATTCATCACACCCATTCACCACACTCATCACACATCCAGCTTCCTCTCCATGGCTCAACTATCATGCTAAACACATCGATGAACCCATAGCTAAGAAGAGGTGGATCGATGGTGTGTGTGTGTGTGTGTGTGTGTGTGCGTGTGCGTGTGTGCGAGAGCTGGAGCCGTGGTTGATAACTCTTCGTGACTTATTTAGGTAATTACGGCCTCGCTGAGTAGGTTAGTTTGTGTGTTTATGTTGTATCCGGCACCACACGTCTCCTTCAAATGGTGGAAAATGTTTCAAATTTGAGAGAGAAATTTTTTTAAAGTTGGAGAACCACAAAAAAAAAAAAAAATATACATATATGATATAATATTTAAAATACCTGGGATATAATCAAAGTATTTATGAAATTTTTTAAAGTTTTGGTTAATCTTGAAAAACAAAAACAACTTTAATGGCATTTTTAACCCCTGAAAATTGTATCAAATTGGGGATTAATACATTGGAATTTATTGAGACGAGAACATTAATTCCCTGCATTATTTTGTATATTTTTTAACATCGTGAAAATAACTTAGGAAAAATAAATGTGGAGATTTGGGGAAAAAAATAGAATTTGATATGTATACAAAGCGAGGATAGTGTAGTATGGTTCACTATGACTCAGGGTTATACGACAGGTAACAGAACACGCTGATTAATACAGTGATCAAGAACACTATTGGAGGTGATAGTTAATTTTCTGGCCAGGTGTGTGTTTTAAAATATATGGTGTAGTCAGGTGTGTGTTATAAATTGCTTGTTTGTGGTCATATGTGTGTTTTAAAATGTATGGTGTAGTCAGGTGTGTGTGTTAACCTGTACGGTGTGGTCAGGTGTGTGTTAACCTGTACGGTGTGGTCAGGTGTGTGTTTTAACCTGTACTTTGTGTGGTCAGGTGTGTGTTTTAACCTGTACGGTGTGGTCAGGTGTGTGTGTGTGTGTGTGTACCCAGCACATCCCGGGTTCAAGTTTGTGGATGGTGGCCTATGTGTTTGTGTGTGCTGTCAAGAGCTTTATTTGTATGTGTTTAGTGTGTGTATTTGTATACGTGTGTGTGTGTGTGTGTGTGTGTGTGTGTGTGTGTGTGTGTGTGTGTGTGTGTGTGTGTGTGTGTGTGTGTGTGTGTGTGTGTTAGGGAGGGAGGTCGGAAAACAAAACCTTTTTTAAACCCATAAGGAAATGTCATTAAAGTTTGGCTGTACATGATGGCAACTTGTCGTACCTTTTATAGTTAATTGTTATTGTTCAGTACTTCTCATATATCACGGAGGGGAAGGTAGAACGTTGACCCCTCATCATATCTGAACCATTAACGTCTAACTCTATTTTTTTGTCCTAAACCTGACGAAAAAAAAATTATTAGGATTTGTTAGTTAAAATTTTTTGAGTGTTATTATTATTTGTTTTTAGTTGTATAAATCACTAAGGATGTTATTGTTGTTGTATATTATTTCATAGTATTGTGGGGGAAACGACATTTTTTTTCTTCTGCTTCGTAACGACACAAGGTACATTACCAGTAAAGGTTTAGTGTAAGTTAACAAGAGATTGATGAATATTTACTAACCTAGGTGAAGGTCTTATTAATATATTATCTTCGTTATTCTTCAATCATCATAAGTTGGCGCCGCCGTCTTGTGAGAATAAGAATGAAACAATTTTAAAAAAGAATCATGAGAGGTGGCCACGCACTAACGTGATGACAGCGCTCATAATAATGTGTGAATGTTGGTACGACTAGTTTTACCGAGTGATATATATTAACAGAATTCTCAAGTTAATCTAAAGAGAGTAAATTGGCTTATGAGTTTAGCTCACGAGAGGTTGACGGGTGTTGTCAGGTGTGATAATTGTTTACCTGTACGTTAAGAGGACATGACAACACAGGTGAGTTAGCATTAAGACTTCTGTGCTGACACACCTGAGTCTCCTTTATTACTCTCAACTAACACGAACCTCACCAACACGATGCACGATCACCAACACGGAGCACGATCACCAACACGGAGCACGATCACCAACACGGAGCACGATCACCAACACGGAGCACGATCACCAACACGGAGCACGATCACCAACACGGAGCACGATCACCAACAACACGGAGCACGATCACCAACACGGAGCACGATCACCAACACGGAGCACGATCACCAACACGGAGCACGATCACCAACACGGAGCACGATCACAACACGGAACACGATCACAACACGAACACGATCACCAACACGGAGCACGATCACCAACACGGAGCACGATCACCAACACGGAGCACGATCACCAACACGGAGCACGATCACCAACACGGAGCACGATCACCAACACGGAGCACGATCACCAACACGGAGCACGATCACCAACACGGAGCACGATCACCAACACGGAGCACGATCACCAACACGGAGCACGATCACCAACACGGAGCACGATCACCAACACGGAGCACGATCGCCAACACGGAGCACGATCGCCAACACGGAGCACGATCACCAACACGGAGCACGATCACCAACACGGAGCACGATCACCAACACGGAGCACGATCACCAACACGGAGCACGATCACCAACACGGAGCACGATCACCAACACGGAGCACGATCACCAACACGGAGCACGATCACCAACACCAAACACGGAGCACGATCACCAACACGGAGCACGATCACCAACACGGAGCACGATCACCAACACGGAGCACGATCACCAACACGGAGCACGATCACCAACACGGAGCACGATCACCAACACGGAGCACGATCACCAACACGGAGCACGATCACCAACACGGAGCACGATCACCAACACGGAGCATGATCACCAAGGTGTTCGTGATGGTAGTTCTGATGGTAGTGAAGATGGCATCAGAGGAGGTGGAGGAGCAGGATGTAGAAGGAAGGAAGGAAGGAAGGAAGGAAGGAAGGAAGGAAGGGTGTAAGTGACGGAGGCGAGTTGTCAAGAAATAGGTACAGTATATAATATGTAAATTATATTCACACCATCAAGCGAGAACTTTGTTGTTATCACTGAAATATAACAAGTATATAATGTGTGTGTTTATTCCTGGTAATGTTCAGAACACACACACACACACACACACACACACACAACACAACACAACACAACACAACACAACACACACACACACACGCACACACACACCTAATGTTACTAAATGTTGGGCTAAAATTCAAGAGATTTGGTTTCCTGACGCACGGTGTGATGGTAACGTGATAGTGTTGTGTTATCATGTGAGGGTGGCGGCGGTGCTCGTGGTGATGATATAACACAAAATATATTATTACTGTACATTTGCATAATTATATTACACATTGTTGGGTGTTAGTTATATAGCGGTATAATATTCTTGCGTGATTATGTGTAGTCGGGTCTAAGTTGTTATATACCGGAAATTATATTAAAGTTGTTTGATTATTTCGCAGTTGAGTCTTATAGAAATTACCAGGATAAGAAGTGACCTACATCCACTGACTTGTTTGTAAGGTTACCTGTGTGTGTGAGAGAGAGGGTGTGAGGTTTGTGTGTGTGTGTGTGTGTGTGTGTGTGTGTGAGAGGGTGTGATGTTTCGCTGTAAATATTGTGTGGGAGTGAGAACTATCCCTGTTGTGTATATCGGTATGAACGTATTATTTATTTAATTATTTATTTTGATTGGAGCTTCTGGTAACACTAAGCAAATTTGATTGTTTTTACGTATATAATTTTCGTCGTGACTTACCTGGCTTGTTGACGTGTTGGTCTGCGTTGATCATCCTACACGGTGTTTACCACTGAGCTAACAGCTGATCATCACACACTGTTTGCCTTTCCCATTGACAGTAAGTGTTGACGCCCCGCTCACTGTTGATCATTACACACCGTGTTTACCAGACCTGCTAACAGATGATCACCACAGTGTGTGTGTGTCGCGGCCCTGGTTCACTAAACACATTATTGTACACTACTGTTGGTTGGACCTCATTTAACTCTAATCTACCGAGCTGGATCAGGTAATCCATGATTTATATGATAACAAGAAACATTGAGCATTATCATGAATTTACCAATTACAGAGTTTATTCGGGATTTTCTACTGTTTCTTATAAATAAACAGTTACTTAATGTGCTGGTAAATACAGGATGAATTCAACGTCTCACACAGTTTTATATTTAAGACATTTTAAATGGCCTGGGCTGAGAGGCCGTTTATAAAGAAAGTGAAGCTCATTATCCTCAGAGTTTCTTGTGAGAGAAAGTTTATCATCACGTTAACAGTGCAGCAGATTTTCTGACGTGTTCCAAGCAGCGCTGATGCTAGTTTATTGTGCACCCCCTTACCTAACGTGGAAGCATTACAAACCACAGTAAGTCATATAAGGCTTATGCTTACTTTCTTACACTTAGTTCTTAAAATAATGAAAGGGGGAGGGGGGGTGTTCTTAGGGGCCATTGGTACCATTATCAAGTTCCTCCTCCTACAGACAAGCCTTTCAACTGAGATTATTAAGAGCCTATTACGTTTATTCTTTTGTTTAATACATGAACCCAGAGTTACGACACAGCCCTGGCTACTTAAGGTCACAGATGAAAATGTGTCTATTGTGTTGTGTGTGATAAACTTGTTGTGTGGACGTTAATTCTTCCTCTAACATCAGTTGGTTACAGATAATGAGTATACAATGGTCTCTAACCCTTTCGCTGCACTTCCCGCACTTGTCATTTTATTCGGGCCACCGCCAGACGATTTTATTCAGCTTGGTTAACCTCCCGCAGCCACAGGGTTAATGAGTGATGTTCGAGGGTTTATTTAGTGATGACGGTGAATGGTGGACTCTTGTTGACTATTGCAGGGTAGTGATGTTGGTAGTTGTGGTAGTTTTGGTGCAGTGACTGTAGGGTATTGATGCTGGTAATAGTAGTAGTAGTTGATCAAGGCAGCTTCACTCCTCTGGTGGGATGGGACCAAGTGCAAGATGTTTCTATGCAAGACTGGCCGAGGTGTTATCCGAAGAGAAGCAGCAGCCCAGAATTTACGTTGCAGCTTTGTTGAGATGTCGACTGTCCTTCTCTTTGCTTAGGTCTACATTTCTTTGCCACAGGGGAACGTGATCTTCAGCCCCCAAAGCCGACAATGGTCGCAGATATCTACTATGAGGCAATAGTCACTGAATGCCGCAGAGATTTGCGGCTCAACTAACTCAACACAGACAGGGCAGCTACTTTTGTATTAGCATATTTAATTTTAAGGTAATAAAATAGCGGCGAAGGTGTGGCTATTGGGGGAGGCTGGAGGCCACGATAAAAAAATAGTAGTAGTAGTAGTAGTAGTAGTAGTAGTAGTGGTGGTGGTGGTGTGTACAGCGGCGGCGGTTTTTTAGTAACATCAACAAAGTCATGATAACAAAGTGAAATTGGTGTTGTGTTAAGAGACAGTCTGACGCCCTCGACTAGCAAACATCACAGTACTCACAATAAGCAAGGTAAGGGGTGGCAGTACTTGTGGTGAGTGTGTTTGGTGTCTCGGCTGAGGAGTTCGTAAGCATTTTGCCACGTTGTAGGAGAAGGTGTTTGAGTGTTCAGTGGTGAAAATGGTGTAAATAACGACACCAGACACTTGCCTCACCTGTCTGGTCACCAGGTGTATGGTTCTTAATGGTGATCTGATGTGACTTTTTCGATTCTGTTTGTCGTGGTCTTGTTAACTTTATTTTCTCTTCCGTCGCCTCCTTTCCCTTCTTCCTCTTTCGTGTCGTACCTTTCCTCCATTAACTTCTCTACCACCCTCCCTTCCTCATCCTCTTCTTCCAACTTTTCCTCCTCCTTTTCCTTTCCTTCCCTCTTTTTTCTGCCTTTCCTCTCATTCCCTTTCTTCCTCTTTTTCTTCTCCCTCCCTCTCTCTTCTTCCTCTTTTTCCCTTCCCCTCCCACTTTTCCCTCCTTTTCCTCACCCTTCTTTTTTTCCTCCCCTACCTCTTTTTCATTCCCCCCTCTTCTCCCCCTCTCCCTCCCTCCCCTCCCCCCCTTTCCCTCCCACCCTCCCTCCCTCCCTCCCCTCCCTCCCTCCCTCCCTCCCCTCCCCTCCCACCCTTCTCCCTCCCTCCCACCCCTCCCTCCCCTCCCACCCTCCTCCCTCCTCCCTCCCTCCCTCCCTCCCTCCCACCTCCCTCCCACCCTTCCTCCTCCCACCCTCCCTCCCACCCTTCTCCTCCCTCCCACCCTCTCCTCCCTCCCTTCCTCCCAACCTCTCCCTACTTCCCCTCTCCCTCCCTCCGTCTCCCTCCCTCCCTCCTGGTGCTGGTAGTTACAGGTCGTCACCACCATGTATCACCGTCACGATATAATCTCGGGCTACAATACAAGAGTTTTCTCACCATTAAGACAGTTTACACCTTATTAAACCCTCTTATCTCTCTCCTCCCTCTACTCTCCTCCCTCTACTCTCCTCCCTCTACTCTCCTCCCTCTCCTCTCCTCCCCTTCTCACCTCTCTCTACCTCCTCTCTCTACTCTCCTCTCTACTCTCCCTCCTCCTACTCTCCTCCCTCTACTCTCCTCCCTCTACTCTCCTCCCTCTCCTCCCTCTACTCTCCTCCCTCTACTCTCCTCCCTCTACTCTCCTCCCTCTTCTCTCCTCTCCTCTCTCAATAAATCTACGACTGAGAGAACTTGTGAACTCAGTCATTATGAACTGAGGCTGTTGTTATTGTTGTTGTTTATCAATGATTCGGCTGAGAGAAGTGTTCATTATAAACAGTAATATTGTTGTTGTTGTTGATTAACTTGTTTTAGAGGTGACTTACGCCATGCTGTAGAGTGCATTATAAACACACACACACACACACACACACACGAAACAATGTAGTAAATGGTATGTTTTTTTTTCCAAGTGTCAAGATTTCGTTTTTTTTTTGTCAGTTTAAACCTTTGGTGGATCACAAACCATCACACACACACACACACACACACACAGGCGGCGTTTCTCTCTCTCTCTCTCTCTCTCTCTCTCTCTCTCTCTCTCTCTCTCTCTCTCAGCAAGAACCTTCACCCCCTGAGACTCTATCCACATTTTTCACCATGATGAGCGGCGGTAACTGACCTCAACTAGAAAAATGCCTCCATAGAGTCCCAGGGTAGTGCTTTAGATATCAGAACAACCCCCAAGATATTGTAGATACTTAAAACAATCACCAAAGTTCCCAGAAATATGACTTAAGATTATGGCCACATTTTGGGAGATATATTTTAAGGTTGACAGCGATCGTGAGGGTCAGGTGAGATGGGGGGGGGGAACTTTTGTTTGTGAGTGTGTTTATTTTAACGGTATAATGATTACGTGGATAATTATGTTAAGTTAAGGCTGACCGAGGCGAAGGATTATAGTACATTATATAATACTTAAGTCTGACTGAGGTAGGGAGGTGGTAGTGATCAAGTTCTCATAAGACTTTCACGAGAGAACAATCATTTAAGACACGAGGGTAAATAAAATGTCTTGTAAATTGTACTTCACATCACTTAACCAGTCAGGATCTTACTCACCTGTTACAGAATACCAGGTAATTATCATATCCTTCACCTGGGACTAGGGAGGTTCACGTACTCTTTACCTTGTTCACTTATACAGGTACACCCTTGTATATATTTACCAGTCACAACATTAACCTGTGTGTTATGGTGAACTGAGGTAATATTTAATTAAACCATTGGGTCCTGAAGGGTTAAGGAAGTGTTTATTATGTCATGTGTTAATAATTGCTCACTGAGGCTTCCCGCTACGCTTTATTCTGACTCAATTAATTATTTATAATCTATGTTGAGTAATAATTATTGAGATTGATTATTTATGTTTGTTTAATAATTTATGTGTTTAATATTGAGACACGTAAATGGTGTAATTATTCTTGCTATTTTATCTTAATTACTGTCACTCGGTAAGCCCATCATTATGGTTACAACACACACACACACACACACACACACACACACACACACACACACAAACAGCTTTGATAGGTTTTACACATTTTAAGTCGATCGTGAAAGCGTCTCGGTTAATAGCATAATAAACGAAATATCTCTACAGTTGAACCAATACCTATCACTAGTTACTATTTGTTAAGGTTCATCAATAGCCGATAATAGCGTAATTTCACGTGATCATATAAAAATTGAGGAGTAACTTAACATGCTCAGTGGGTAGTGGCTATTAATGAACCTGGGTGACTTGTATGTGTTGGGAACTTCCTGCCCTGGGAAGAGAGGCGTCATCACCGTAGCCAAAGGCATTAGACAAGGTTTGTTACTGATGGTAATGTGTGACCATACTGGCTGTGTGAGGTGGAGGTGAGATGGAGCTCCCACCACCTGTAAGGCCGTGTGTGTGTGTGTGTGTGAATTAGGGAGGTGCTTCGTCTGATACCAGGCCCTTGGCACTTCACCTCCTCCTGCTGTGTGCCTACAGGTTCCTCTTCCTACGGTGG